AATAGAAACGGAAATCTTGAATCAGAAATCTTGTCAGCCGCGTGGTTGTTAGCATTCTGCATCGGCGCAATTTGCCTCGAGAACCAACTAGCTGCATCATTGGAGCTTCGGAACCATGATTTAGAGACGATTGTCGAGTTCAAATACTTGAACTACGAATACGAAAGCGAAGAACAAAAACAAAGTGTCCTGAACTGCACTGGTTACGTGAAGAAGAACAACAGCCCTATCGATGTCAACGTTTGGTATAATAGTTGTAAAATATTTCTATTCTCGTAGCAAAATGAATTAGTTCAGAAAAAATTAGGGATCAGATGTTACAATGTTCAATCTTCTATCAATTAACACTTGTGCTATTTCCCTGACAAAATTTGATCTTCGTTCGAGAAATGTTAAAAAGACTAGTAGCTTCGTAAAATGGTTTTGAACGATCTTTTTCCATAAATTTTGTTTATTTTTTATTTATTTATATATACTATCTATATACTATACATACTATATATATACTATATATACTATATATATACTATACATACTATATATGTACTATAATACTACAAATAGTATACACGTAATCGAAATAGAAACGGAAATCTTGAATCCCGATGCCAAGGGTGAACGTCGAATATTTATTTTCTTCGTCCCGCTCGACGTTCGAATTGCGTTTGTTGTAATTAATGTTGAAGCGAAAGTGTAATCGTGGTTTTAAGATGTCTCGGTTTTTCATGCACGTTGATTGCGATTCTTTTCTGCGACGCGATCTCTAAATACCAGGGAGAAGAAAATATTCGTCACCGTGCCAAGGGCTAAGGGCGTGCCCTCGACACTGAACACCGTGTCCAAGAAAAAGGGCGACGGCGGTCCTCTTCTCAAGCCTTATCCTAACTGGTCGCTGGCCAAAACAGATTGCAGTGGCATCTACAGCGTCTACAGAGTCGACGTAAGTCGAATTTCAAAATCAGCTGGACCCGGTTGATCGAAACGTTCGGTTAACAATTTCACTTTGTCGAATCTGAGGAGCGCGCACGACGCCGAATTAATCGCGTTTCGAACGATACGAACCGTGCGATACAAGCGGCACCGTTTCATCGAAACATTCGTAAAACACAAAGCGAGAAGCGACGATTACGTTCGCATCTATTTATCCAAGAAGTTTTTATTCTGCACAGATCCTGAGGCACTACTTGTACGTGCTGGACAACGGAAAATTGGACGACGATGCGGTTTGCCCGCCTAGGCTTCTCTGTTTTGACCTGTATACCGACAAAATTGTGATGAACGTGGCGATACCGCACGATATCGCGTTCAAGAGTACGACGGGACAGGGGCTCTTGGTCACACCGATCGTTGTGCCATCCCTGACGGAACTAATATTCCCACTGGCCAGCAGAGTAAGCGAAGCAGTTTAACTTTTCTATAGAATTTTCAGCGATAAGAAACAAATGTAAGAGAGCGCTCTTGCAGCGATAACGTCAATACCAAAATTTCTGAAAATGTTACCGGTAGATATCAGTTCGTGATATCAATTAATGAATATTTCGATTAGGGTAAGTCCGAGAGAGTTCGGACAGCGGGAGCGACCGGCCAGTGTGAATACAGTAATTTCTCCGTAATTTGCGCTCAGATTGCGCACAAAAATGGACAATTTAGGAAGAGGAGATACGATTATTCGATTATTATTTATATATTATAATTTATAGTTACCGATTGTCGACAACTATAAAAGCGAGACACAAGGCTCGAATAATCGTGTCCTCGCTTCTCAAATTGTCCATTTTTATGCGCAATCTGAGCGCGAATTGGAGAGAAATTATATATATTATTAATATAATATATAATAATAATATATTATTATTATTATTATTATTATTATTATTATTGTCATTATTGTTATTATATAATAATATATATTATTATTATTATATATATATTACGACAAAAATATTACAGATTCGAGATACGATCGTTTCTCGATCTATTGGTGCATAAATTCGATCGAAAGCCATCGATTATTATTGGATTTCACAAAGTCACGGCCCCGGTTCCGCGGTTCGACCACTTTTTCGACTAGGATGTCATTAGTCGCAGACTAATGTTGTTGTTTTTAGATTATTACGACACTCGCTCGCTGGCCGAGCTCGCCTACCCTATAATCTTGTATCAAATCACGTGAAAATATTACATCGCGGTCGCTGTTGCTGTCCGCCATTCTCGCGCATAAATTGTTCACGCATTATACGTTTACGAACGCGTAATCGGTACTCGGGCATTTACAAAACAGAAGCGACATAAATCATTTTCGTCGAGACATTCTACTTGCCGTTCACGGGAATGTGCAACCCATTTTTTTCGCAAGATCGAATTGATTTGTGCGAACGAAAGAAAAATATTAATAAATATCCGTGGAAATTCAACCCCTTTGTAGAGATCGCAACTGTTATTTTAGCATGCGTCGATTTCTTTTCATGCGAACAGAACGTTGCGAAACACGTCTGCGATTCAAATTTCATTTTTTATACAAAACCAGAACATTATTGCGAGAATTATCTTGTCTGATTTAATCTTGGTCTTTTATTCCTTACGAACAGGACTTTATAAAATGGTTTTGTCATTAGCAGTTAAGTCGGGCGAAAATACAAAGAAATATATTTATTATATTATTATATTATTAAACTAAATTATTATAATATATATATATATATATATTTAGCATATAATAATGCATATAATTTATGCTATATAAATAATAATATATAATAATATATAAATAAATATAGGTATAAATATATATATTTATAATAATATAATAATAATAAATATATTTCTTTGTATTTTCGCCCGACTTAACTGCTAATGACAAAACCACATTTAAT